TTTCTTTCTTTCTTTCTTTCTTTTCTTTTCTTCTTTTCCTTCCTTCCTTCCTTCCTTCCTTCCTTCCTTCCTTCCTTCCTTCCACTTCCAACTCTCCAGTGCCCTATTTATCTAATTATTATGAACATTGGTTTTCCCCTATATATACTGAAGGGAAAGTGTATTGACTGCCACAAAGTCATGTCCTTGAACAGGAAAGGACAAACTATGTCTTCTGCGTCAAATGTGGCTTGACCATTTGTTTGAGTAAATAAAGATTTATTGGAACACAGGCAAGCTCATTCATTTACATATAGTGTGTGGTTGCTTTCAGTGCAACTGCAGAGTTGAGTAGTTGCAACAGAGACTACATGGCCTGCAAAGCCTAAAATATTTACCATCTGGCCCTCTCTAGAAAATGTTTTCCAAGCTCCACTCTTAAATATCAGGTAAGGAGAATTTACAGTTGGGGAAGAATTACAGTTCTGTTTTAGTATCTGTTATGGGATCAGCTTGAGGACAAGAGTTGCTCTATGTTCAACCATACTGAACATTAACAAGGATTTGTGAACATTCTTTTTTACATATAAGAAAATTCAAGCTCAGAAAGAACTGGCACCTTACTCATGTCACACAGTTATTCTAATCACAGAACTGGGGCCAAAATGCCAGTTTTCTATCCCCTAGCCCAGAGCTGTTTTTACTACTCATAATACCTTTAGCTGGAGAATGCTTGAATCTATTAAGGATCAGTGAATACACTATCCCTGATTTATTTCAACCTCCATACAGAATCATATTTTCCTTCTATTTTTAAGTAAATTTTACTCATGTATAGGAAATTTACAAATCATAAATGCACAGCTTAATAAATTGTCCCTCTAATTTCACACGTTGTGAGTAGACCAATTATTAGAGCAACGTAGAAGACAGAGCATACATATATGAGATGCAAGTTTAAAAAAACAGTGGAAAAAAAAGAAGGAATAGACTACTGGAACATGGCTTTGTGTTCAGGTAGTGTTGGAAGTATGTTGTGAGCACTTTATCAACTTTTTGATAAAGACAGCTCATTCTTCAATCAATGTCTTCCTGAATTCTGCTTTTCCCAATGCATTAACTGGTTCCTTAGAATTCACATTTCCCTTGTGCTGTTCTAAGTGGTCTTTCCTATCTCTAGGAGATATTATCTCTTCTAACAGCCCCTATCCTTGTAGACTCATGCCTGTGTCCATCTCTTTTCTTTCTCTTTTTCTTGTTTTATTTTATTTTTCTTAAATAATTCATTTTTCAGAACAATTTATTTTTTTGATTCACAGCAAAACTGAGAAGAAGGTACAAAGATTTCCTATATCCCCTCTTCCCCCACCTGCGTATCATTCTCCTCATCAAAGTGCCCCACCAGAGTGTATCTGTTACAACTGAGGAACCTTGCCTCATCATTATCATCCAGAGTCCATAGTTGACATTAGAGTTCACTCTTCATGTTGCATATTCTATGGGTTTAGACAAATATATAATGGCATGGACCTACCATTATAGTATCATACAGAGTAGTTTCACTGCCCTAAAAGTCCTCTGTGCTCTCTCTATCCATTCCTCCCACCTCGCTAACCCTTGGCAACCACTGATCTTTTTACTGTCTCCATAGTTTTGCCTTTCCCCAGAATGCCATATAGTTAGAATCATAGAGTGTATAGCCTTTTCAGATTGGCCCCTTTCATCCATCCACTTTCTTGACCCACTGACTCCTTTATATAGAACACAAGCTTTTTGTACAGAATGAGACATCTTCTCTAATGTCTAGTCTTAGTCGTGAGGTATAATGGAAAAAAAGATTCTATCAAGGAGACATGTAGTTCCTTCCAGGTTCAAATTCTGGCTTCTCTGCTAACTAAGTGTGTGACTGTGAGCAGGGTACTTAATACCTACTCTGAAGAGGTGCTATGATAAGCAGATGAAATAATGTATGTAAAGTGATTAGCATAATGCCAAGTATACAGTAGGTGCTCCAAAAGTAGAGCTATTATTAGTGTAATCTGACTGCTCTCAGTATTAAATTATTCATTTTCCCACTGCCAACTGAAACTCTTTTAGGATTCCCACTGTTACTTTAAGATCAAAGTTCTACTAGCCACCTTAAATGCATTCTGTCTTTGCAGCCCACACCTTCTGAGCATAGCAGTCTCCACCTATTCATACAACCACCTTCCAAATCAGTAGTTTGTCTGAGTATTCAAATACATTAACCAGTAACTCTCATACATTCACAAGGCAGGTAGTAAAACAATGGTAACAATATGTGGGGCACCAGCGTGGCTCAGTGGGTTGAGTATCCAACTCTTAATTTTGGCTCAGGTCATAATCCCAGGGTCATGGGATTGACCCCTGCGTCAGCTTCAGCAGGGCTCCGTGCTGAGCATGGATCCCTTTTAAGATTGTCTCACTCCCTCTGCCCCTCTCCCGTACTTGTGTGCGCGCTCTTTCTAAAAAATCAAAAAACAATCCAGTTGCAGGTGCCAAAAACTGTCCACAGTTTTTTTAGTTATTAAGAAATCTTCTTGAAATATATACATAATTTATGCATATAATCATTAATGATATATCCTACATAGTACTCAGAGCTATTTATTAGTTGATAGGAAATTAAATAGTTTACAAATGAATACACAAATGAACCAGGGCACATGGTTAGAAATATTTTTTAATCAATGGGGTACATGATCCAGAAATTTTATGGATCATTCCTTTAGGCAATGGGAAACACTTGGAGGATTTAAAGCTCAGAAAATGAACATGATGTAATAAGCATTTGATAAAGATCAATCTGGTGCCAATGTGATGGTTGGAATGAAGGACAGAAAAAAGTTTGTGATTGTTCAAGGCTGCTATGCTGGTCAT